CTGTGAGGTAAAAGAAGAAGAAGAAGAGATTGGATTTATACCCCGCCCTTCACTCGGAGTCTCAGAGCGGCTTACAAACTCCTTTCCCACCCCCTCCCCACAACAGACACCCTGGGAGGCAGGTGGGGGCTGAGAGAGCTCTGACAGAAACTGCTCTTTTTCAAGGACAGCTCTTACCAGAACTACGGCTTGCCCAAGGTCATCCAGCCTGAAGAAGAAGAAGAGATTGGATTTATACCCCGCCCTTCACTACCCAAAGGAGTCTCAGAGTGGCTTCCAATCTCCTTTCCCTTCCCCTCCCCACAACAGACACCCTGTGAGGTCGGTGGGGCTGAGAGAGCTCTCCTGAGAACTGCCCTTGAGAGAACAGCTCTAAAAGAACTTATAACTGACCCAAGGTCACACCAGCAGCTACCTGTGGAGGAGTGAGGAATCAAACCCGGTTTTCCCACATTAGAGACCGCGCTCCTAACCACGACACCAAACTGGCTCCTCTAACCTCTACACACATACCCTTTCATTTTTCAAAACATTTAAGAACATAAGAGCCAAAGGCCCATCCAGCCCAACACTCTGTATCACACAATGACCAGAAATACCAGTGCCATATTTGTTGCCTCCTAAACCTCTACCCAGAGGGAAAAGTTCCTACCAGTACAAACACGGCTCCTTACCCATTAAAGGACTCCAGTTTGGAGAAGGACATTTCCTCAGCCAGGTCCAAACAGATGACCTGAGAGAAAAAGAATAGTAGAGAAATGAAAGGGAGGGGGTCCACGGGTGGCCATGGAACAGAACCCAGAAATCTAGGGCGGGTCACGGGCTAAGCACAGAACATTTTTAACGTGAGATTTGAAAACTGGGGGAGGGGGGGAATTGGTGGGCAAAATAACACAGCACCTTTTCCTTGTCCCTCAGGCCCAATGGAACAGGAAAATATTAGGATTTTTTGCACCCTAAGGGCCGGCCCGCACTCTAGGCGAATGCCTAGTTCGCCTACCAGGTGAGCCGGCCCTGTCTGTTGGGGCCAGCATTGTCTGTTCTGACCAGAAGCGCTTCTCTGAGGCACTGGGCAGACAAAGGCCTTCTTCAACACTACAAGCAGAAGCAGAAGAAGAAGAGGAGGAGGAGGAGATTGGATTTGTACCCCACCCTTCACTACTCGAAGGAGTCTCAGAGCGGCTTACAAACCCCTTTCCCTTCCCCTCCCCACAACAGACACCCTGTGAGGTGGGTGGGGCTGAGAGAGCTCTGACAGAAACTGCTCTTTTTCAAGAACAGCTGTGCCAGAACTGTGGCTTGCCCAAAGTCATCCAGCAGGTGCAAGTGGAGGAGTGGGGAATCAAACCCAGTTCTCCCAGATTACAGTCCGCACACTTAACCACGACACCAAACATCTAGAAGAAGATAAGAGATTGGATTTATACCCCGCCCATCACTACCCGAAGGAGTCTCAGAGCGGCTTACAAACTCCTTTCCCTTCCCCTCCCCACAACAGATACCCTGTGAGGGAGGTGGAGCTGAGGAAGCTCTTGACAGAAACGGCTCTTTTTCAAGAACAGCTCTTATCAGAACTATGGCTTGCCCAAGGCCATCCAGCCAGGTGCAAGTGGAGGAGTGGGGATTCAAACCCGGTTCTCCCAGATTAGAGTCCACGCACTTAACCACTACACCGAACTGGCTCTCGTAGACACCTAACTGGAGATGCCAGAGACTGGACTTGGGACCAGCTTCACACACACCAAGGGCTGAACGGGCACGCTAAAGCCACTCAATCACAACAAGATTTAAAGGGGGTTTCTGTCGTTCACCGTTTGGCATGTTAACTCCTAGTCCTGCACCCAGGACCGAGACTGGAGACTAGCCCCTCTTCCCTTCTTAAAAGACACCCACCACTTTCTCTGGACAGTTGACACGTGGCGTTTTGACTTGAAACTCCGTAGGGGGCACCGGGGTCGGCCAGCCCTTGCTGTCGGCAGGGGGAGCCGTGGCGCTCTGCGGGCTGTCGCCGGTGCTGGCGGCCTCCCCTTCCCCTTCGCTGCGGCTCCCCACACTCGCTTGGGCGCTCAGAGTGCGGTCCTCGGCCCCCTCGGGGTTGGACCGGGTCCTTGGGCGGCTCTCCACCGTCGTCTTCTCCTCCTCCTCCTCCGTCGCGCTGCTGGGCTCCGAGGTGTCCATCTGGGAGCCACGATCCAAGGGGGAATCCAGGATTGCTTTTAGGGAGGATCTTTTGACAGCTGGGGAACAGAGCAACACAGTTAGGGACCGCAGTGGATTCCTGAATGACAGCATCCAACCCTTTGTTCTCCACCAACTTTTACCTTTTTTTCAGTAAACCACTTTGTTTCATATGGCCTTCTCCTACAATTTATTCACGTTTTTATTCCGCCAGTTTGGTGTAGTGGTTAGGAGCGCGGATTCTAATCTGGGGGAACCGGGTTTGCTGCCCCACTCCTTCACATTGCAGCTGCTGGTGTGACCTTGGGTCAATCACAGCTCTCTCAGAGCTGTTCTCTCAAGGGCAGTTCTCGAGAGAGCTCTCTCCGCCCCACCTACCTCACAGGGTGTATGTGGGGAGAGGAAGGGAAAGGGATTGTAAACTGAGACTCCTTTGGGTAGTGAAGGGCGGGGTATAAATCCAATCTCTTGGATTGTTTTCAGAGTTTAGTGAGACAGGTCAGGATAAGACTGTGTAACTGGCCCAAGGCCGCCCAGAAAGTTCCGTGGCAGAGTGGGGATTTGAACCTGGGTCTCCCAGATCTGAACCCAACTCGCTAACCACTGTGCCACGCTGGCTCCCGAGCAACTTCGAAATGAAAACAGGGACAAGACCATAAGCAAAACTGGTAAGAGTGAATCCTTCCCATTTCAAATCTTGTTTCCACGAAAAGAAAAGAAGCTGCAGAGGAAAAGCAACAAGCCAGGAGAAAAGGTACGAGAGTTCCTCACAGAATTCGAAGAAGAGATTGGATCTAGAAGGAGGAGGAGGAGGAGGAGGAGATTGGATTTCTACCCCGCCCTTCACTGCCCAAAGGAGTCCCAGAGCGGCTCACAAACTCCTTTCCCTTCCCCTCCCCACAACAGTCACCCTGTGAGGTAGGTGGGGCTGAGAGAGCTCTGACAGAAACTGTTCTTTTTCAAGGACAGCTCTTATCAGAGCTACGGCTTGCCCAAGGTCATCCAGCCAGGTGCAAGTGGAGGAGTGGGGAATCAAACCCGGTTCTCCCAGATTAGTGTCCGCGCACTTAACCACGACACCAAACTGGCTCTCCCCCTCTCAAGGGTTCTCAGCTAGAAAAACAGGTGGAAAAAAAGATATAAGAAAAGCTAGGAGTCCAAATTTGTGATAAGAATTGTTAAACCCTGCTCTTCACTACCCAAAGGAGTCTCAGAGCGGCTTCCAATCTCCTTTCCCTTCCCCTCCCCACAACAGACACCCTGGAAGGCAGGTGGGGCTGAGAGAGCTCTCTTGAGGACTGCTCCTGAGGGAACAGCTCTGAGAGAACTTGTGGTGGACCCAAGGTCACACAAGCAGCTGCATGTGGAGGAGTGGGGAATCAAACCTGGTTCTCCCAGATTAGTCTCTGCACTCTTTACCACTACACCAAACTGACTCTCCCCCCAGCACTATGAACTTCCTACTCTGAAATCTTCTTAATTTCCCATTTGCTTTGTCTCAGACCCTTACTGTGACCTTATTTCTTCATTAACGTTACTTTGCTGGCTCTTGCAGCCAGCCAGATGAGCTTTGCCAGAGCTGAGCTGCAGCAGCAAACCAAGAGCACCTTGCAAGAGCTCACCTCCCAGCCAGGCTCTTTTAGATTTAAGTCTGCAAGCAGTTCAGAATCACTCGCTTTTCTAGCCACAGCCTAGGCAGGTTTACTCCAAAGTAAATCCCAGTCTGCTTGACTGGGCAACTCCAGAAGGAAGGACGGACGGACCAGATGGCTTGCATGGCCCCTTCCAACTCTTATGTTTCAAGAAGCCTCCAAAGATCTGCAGAAATGTAAGCAATGCAAGATTACAGAACCAGAGGCACAACTGAGAATAGTTTATAGCAGCCATACAACCAAATCAACAACCTCAGATATGCAGACGATACCACTCTAATGGCAGAAAGTGAAGAGGACCTTAAGAGCCTCGTGCTCAGGGTAAAAGAGGAGAGCGCAAAAGTGGGCTTGAAGCTCAACATCAAAGAAACTAAGATCATGGCATCCGGCCCCATCACTCCTTGGCAAATAGAAGGGGAAGTTGTGGAAGTAGTGACAGACTTCACGTTCCTGGGATCCCAGATCACCGCAGACTGTGACTGCAGCCATGAAATTAAAAGACGCCTGCTCCTTGGGAGGAAAGCGATGGCGAACCTAAACAGCATGATCTGCAGAAATGTAAGCAATGCAAGATCACAGAACCAGAGGCACAACTGAGAACAGTTTATAGGAGCTATACCTATATTGCTTTCGAACTGCCAACCTAGCAGTTCGAAAGCAAGAAATTGCAAGTAGATAAATAGGTACCACTTCGGTGGGAAGGCAACAGCGTTCCGTGCGCCTTGGTGTTTAGTCATGCCGGCCACGTGACCACGGAAACGTCTTCGGACAGCGCTGGCTCTACGGCTATGAAACGGAGATGAGCACCTCGGACTCGACTGGCTTTCGAGCAAGGGAACCTTTACCTTTACCTTTTACAACCAAATAGTGTTTCCTGCTTAGAAGACACCTGCAACGGAGTGTCCCCCCCCCCCATGTGAAAATAACCTGCATTTCTCCACCGTTCTGCGACAACAATTTTAGTTCGTTGGAGGGAGATGCTGCATACCAAAGCATCGCTGCCCCAGGAACCGCCCGGTCCCCCTTGCCTGGTGCCCCTGACAACGCCCCCGCCCCATGGCCAGCTCCTAATTTTGCAGTCGATTCTTAGAAGCCCCTTACTGTCTCAGATGACCAAGCCGCTCCAAGAGCAATTGGCAAACAGGGCCGGAAACGTGTCCGAGGGAAAGGAAATGCGGGTCCCTTCCTTCTCCTCCTAAGGGCTGCTGGGAAATGTAGTTGCCTTTTGCAATGAGATGGTGTCGGACGTTTCTCATTTTGGACCACATTTCTCCCTTCTCTCCCCTTTTGAATGAGATGCCTTTTGGGGTGGGTTTTTTTAAAAAAAAATTTAAAAAAAGATAGCAGTAGTAGGCTCTCTGTTCATGCTCAAAGTCACATTGCATTTCCCTTCTAGAAAAATGCCGTTCCCCCACAGAACAGCAAATGCTTAGCTGCATTCAAGCAGTTTTGAGCTTTGTGCATGCCCGGTGGCTGCGGTTGCCAGTCTCCAGGCGGGGGCTGGAAATCTCCCGGAATTGCAAGTGATACCCAGACAACAGAGATCGGTTCCACTGAAGAAAATGGACGGAGGGTGGACTGGACTCTGTGGCATTAATACCCTACTGAAGTATCTCCCCCCTCCCCAAATCCCATCTCCCCCAGGCTCCCCCCTATGTCTCAAGGAATTTCCCATTACGGGGGGAGAGGGGGAGGTACTTGTGAATTTCCTGCAGAGTGCAGGGGGTTGTACTAGATGACCCTGGAGGTCCCTTCCAACTTGATGATTCTATGATTCTATTCCAATAAACAGAATTGAAGCAAAGCGTGTTAACATGACACATGAAACAAAACAAGATTACAGGGTAGGAAGCAGTTTACAGCAAACTATACACAGCCCTATCGACCACAGAGCAGCCCCTAATCATTTGTCGTTGGAAAGCAAGTAATTGCAAGTAGATCAATAGGTACCACTTTGGTGGGAAGGTAACAGCGTTCCGTGCGCCTTGGTGTTTAGTCATGCCGGCCACATGACCATGGAAACGTCTTCGGACAGCGCTGGCTCTTCGGCTTGGAAACGGAGATGAGCACCGCAACCCTAGAGTCGGACTCAACTGGCTTTCAAGCAAGGGAACCTTTACCTTTAAATTAATGAACTAATTTTTATTGGGTGTCTTTGAGTTCCAGTACAGTATTTTTGGGACGGGGGACAACTCCTTTATTTCCAGTTTCTTCACCCATCCCGTACTTAATATTATAAACCTGCCATGCTCCCCCAATCCTTTTTTTCTAAACTAGGAACCCCCAAACTCCTTAGCCTTTCCTACAAGGGAACACATTTCAATCTCTGGATGGTGCCCTCTGTTAAACTATTCCACACCTTTCTTGTCATCCACAAAATCTCTTTGACATGGGGGGGGGGGATGGGGACTGTACAATGGTTTACAGATTCAACAATGAACCCACTAAAAACGATCCTGGGAATAATCCCCAATGAATAAAACGGGACTTTCTTCTGACTAGGCCTGCTTAAGGCTTGCTCCCCCAGGGGTGCAGTGTCTTAAATAGGATTTCCAGCTCTGGTTTATGTCTTTATTTTATTGATTTTTATCCCGCCCTCCTGGCCTAGGCCAGCTCAGGGCAGCTTACAACAGAATAAAAGTCCTAATAATACATAAAGAAGAAGAAGAGATTGGATCTATACCAGTGTTCCCTCTAAGCTGAGTCAGTGTGAGCTAGCTCATGGTTTTTTAGCCTCTGGCTCACAAGTTTTTGTCTTAGCTCAGGAAGGATGGCCCCAGGGCAAACTAATTTATGCAGCAGCCAAATCGCTCGAACACAACTTTCATGCATGGAACTCACAAAGTAGAATTTTTGCTCACAAGACTCCACAGCTTAGAGGGAACATTGATCTATACCCCGCCCTTCACTACCCAAGGGAGTCTCAGGGCGGCTTACAAACTCCTTTCCCTTCCCCTCCCCACAACAGACCCCCTGTGAGGTAGGTGGGGCTGAGAGAGCTCGGACAGAACTACGGCTTGCCCAAGGCCATCCAGCCAGGTGCAAGTGGAGGAGTGGGGAATCAAACCCTGTTCTCCCAGATTAGAGTCCATGCACTTAGCCACTACACCAAACCACCACACCAAACACAATTCATTACTTAATACAGTTCCTAGTAGATAAATACAACAATATAAAAACATTGTTAAAATCAGCCTTAATATTAAAGTGCTAGCAATCCTACAGTTTGTACTTTAGTTCTATTGGTCTGCTTCAGTTAGGAGAGGCTAGGTCGGGCAGTCGTCACAGGGGCCAAGGGATCAGGGCTTCCACCATGGTTGTCAGAGGTTATCAATAGCAGGGCCGATAGTTGTGATGGTGGCGGCTCCTAAGGCCTGGCGGAAGAGCTCCGTCTTGCAGGCCCTGCGGAAACTCCAAAAGGTCCCGCAGGGCCCAGATCTCCTCTGGGAGCTCATTCCAGCAGAGTGGAGCTGTCACTAAAAAGGCCCTGGCCCTGGTTGTGGCCAACCTGGCCTCCTTGATACTCAGGACAGCCAGTTGGTTCTGGGTCCCTGACCGCAGTGTTCTCCAGGGCATATATGAGAAAAGGCGGTCCCTCAGGTATGTTGGACCCTGGCCATAAAGGGCTTTATAGGCAGGGGTCATTTTGTAGAAAAAGAGGTACAGGAGCTCATTAGCATAAATTATTTGCATAACTTATTTGAATATGCCACCCCCCCTGACATCACTGGAAGTGTGTCAGAACGCAACACCCACCGCTCAGGCTCCACTTGGTCTTAAAGGTGCCACTGGACTGTTTTGGATTGTTCCTCGTGGCCCAACTGAGGGCTGCTGGGAGCAGGGGGCGGGGCTTGTTGCACATGCCCGCCCCCTGGGCTCCTTACTGCCGGAGCTCCGCTCCTGTGCGCTCCTGCAGGAAATGACCCCTGTTTATAGGTAAGAACCAGCACCTTTGAAGCGAATCTGGTATGTTATCGGCAGCCAGTGCAGCGCCTTTAGAACAGGCTGGATGTGCTCCCGAATTAAGAGTCCCATCAACAGCCTGGCCGCGGCATTTTTCACCAGCTGCAGCTTCCGGATTTGCGACAGGGGCAGCCCCTTGTAGATATTTGGGGGGGAGGAGCCTGAGGAGGGTGGGGTTTAGGGAGGGGAGGGACCTCGGCAGGGCATAATGCCATAGAGTCCGCCTTTTAAAAGAGGCTTTTTCTCCAGGTGAACTGATCTCTATCACCTGGAGATTGGTTGTAATCCCAGGAGATCCCCAGCCACCACCTGGAGGTTGGCA